GACAGGATCTCGCTCTTGCTCAGGCTGGTCTCGAACCTGTGAGCTCAGACAATCCACCCACCTCTGCCTCCCAGAGTGTTAGGATTACAGGCGTGAGCCACTGCACTCGGCTGTACTTCTGCTACTACATTAGCCGTAAACAAGATAAAGGAATCTTACTAAAAGGTGCTTACCAAATATTTTATTATAAACTGAGAAAATTCTAGAAAGGAAAACTGAGATTAAAAACACCACCTCTCCCCTGATTTCTACCAGAGTCCAGACCTTGGGGACCCCAGGCCTTATGGTCACTCTGAAGAGGTAGTACTTTTCTCCATCTTTGGTTACAAAATATCCAATAAATGTGTCTTTATCTTCCTCCCAAAACTGAAAATGCAGTGTCCTCAAAAGCTCAGACATCATAACAGCAGTAGTGCTCACACTAGCCTTAGAGCAGTGGTGTAAGAACTTTCAGTCTGTCAGCACTCAACCCTCTGACTCTGAGCTCAGAGGATCTAAAGTGCGACCTTCAGACTGCTAGTTGGCCTCTCATTCCTTTCCTTTCTTTACTCTGAGCTCTCTGAGAACCTGACTGGTTGTCACTTCTTCCTTTGACTCTGATTATTCTCCTTATACCTTCTCTAACCTAATTGTGGATCATGTGGCCTCAGGCCCAGCCTTCTCCCCTTATAACCAAATTGTTTCTCTTAATCTGTTATCAGGCAGAACATCATTGGTAATTACTAAGTCTCTAGGCACCAGCTAAGTTAATGGCAGTTGAAAGTATTAAATGAGGTTAGGACTAACCTTAGCCATGTTTGGTTTTATAGCAGAGAACCATTGGATCCTTATTGCCATTTAGTCCTCTCCCTCTTTTCTCTGTCCTAAACACCAGTTCCCCACTTTTTTTCTGTTGGGTTAGGAGGAAATGAGGCTGAGAGGCAGGAGACTTGCTCAGTGTTTAAACATCAGAGGACATACAGGGCTTAGGAAAATGATGACATTAGGGTCAAGGATATTGCAGCAGATGTCTCTATGAAATGTTAAAAAGATCAGGCAAAACATTTCTAGTTTTATGATCTTTTCCATTTGATCTCTCTTGAATTGGACCAGGTTGAAACTTGAGATGATAAAAGGGAATTTGGTATAGTAGTGCAGTTAAATGTGTGTATTATATCACAGTCAGTTTTTCTCTATGGTCTCATGTTTTATACCTTAAATAGGAAGAGTAATCATGTTTTAGATGAGTATTTTCCACAGAATTTTCTGCAATGATTCAAATATTCTTTCTCTATACTTTCTATATGTTGACCACTAGCCACATGTGACTGTTGAACACTTGAACTATGGTTAGTGCCTAAGGAATTGTTAATTTTATTATATTTCAATTAATTGGAATTTAAATAACTACAGATTGCTAGTGGTTACCATATTGGTCTATATAGCTTTAGACCGCAGTATCCAATATTTCTGGGTCTTTCTTTTTAAGGTTCTGCTTTTATACTGGTGGTAAGTATTAACATCAACTCTACTTACTCATTTCTAAGATATATAAATTATTCCAGATTCATTTAACCATTAACTGTAAAAATTCATAATTTAATAGTTATCATTCATTCTTCTCAATGAATATTTCCAAAACAATTCCTCTAGGGCTTGGTTTTCTAATTTTCTAATTGTAAAATCTTAGAAAAAAGGCACATTAATATCCCTTCTAGCACAAGGGTAACTACCTTCTTAGGAACGAAACAGGATTACATTTTCAGATCCTTTTTTTAACTGTCATTTATTTGTATTTTATGACAGTACTTGACCTATGTGAAGATGTTTATAACTGCAGTATTCTGTGCTGTTGTAAATTAGGCCAGGCCTTCAAAGATAATTCCAAGTGGACTATATATTGCTCTGTTATTTTATGTAAATTATTTATAAAGCTTACTATTGTTTTCATTTTATAGCTACCAGGTGCAGGGTACTGAAACATTTAAAAGTAGAAAATGCCCCGATTGTAAACCGATTTGACTATGCACAGTGCAAGAAACTGAATATGGATCAGGTACTAGACCAGATTTTAAGGATGCCTCCTGAGAGAAACCGTATCATATACCTACGCCCAATGCAGCAGGTGAGGGGCTTTGCTCCTTTTTGATAATACGTGAGTTTTTTGTTTGTCTTCAACCTTTTGCACTTGGAGTTCATTCATTTATTCAACTCACAGTATTGATTTTTTAGATTATACAGATTTCTTTTAACCAAGCTTGACTGTCTTTGCCAATCTTCTTCATTAAGGCATCTCTCTTAGATTTCTGTAAGCTTTTTAGCAAGTTATAAGAGATGATGAGGGTAGTTGTTATTCAACAGATTTTTGTACTTATTGAAAATTTCCTGTGGTTAAGAACATAGACTGTGGTTTCAGACTGCCTGATTCAATTGCTGGCTGTCTGGCCTGCAGGAGATTATTTAACTTCTTTGTCTTAGTTTCTTCAGTCTGTAAAATTAGAATAGAAGTACTTAGGGCTATTGTGATGTTTAAATTAATATTTGTGAAATGCTAGAAGAGTTGCTAGTATATAGTAAATAATCATATAATAACCACTGTTATTATTTAGAATAAATGTACATGATACTCTGTGCTTGATGCCAAAAGAAAGTTTAATGAAAATATTAAGCTACCGTTGTAGTAAATGTATGATAAACAAAAGCAGTTTGATAAACAAATTGTTGAGTATCACAATACACAAAATTTGCTGGGTGCTTAAGAACATATAACACATTATTCTTCCTTCAAGAAGTCTGCCTTTCCCAGTTTTAGAGCTGGTAAGCATTGTCATGTAGTCTATTTCATCTGTTCAAGATGCCTAGTAATTCAAATGAAAGGAATGCCTCCCTGGTTTTCATTTTCATTCTTCCATACCATTGAAGGTTTCCCACCTTTTGAGTCACTTTCTTTTATTAGCTATGACAAAAGATGCACCAGTCTATTCCATTTCAGGGAGAGCATTCCAAATTCATCTTTGACATTCTGAATTTTTAAATTGGTCTCCAGGAATTTTTGTGTGTGTTTCATAAAGATTTTTAAAAGCTGTATTAAGTTGTCAGTAGAATATGATCACACAGATATGGGTGGGTACTTTGCAATAAAATGCAAGTGGTTTTTGTTTTTTTTTTTTAAAGTAGTCTGCCTTCTCACAAAGGAGATAAACATTTGTGCCACTTAGATGGCAGAGTGAGATCTCCTAACTAGAGATGGGGAAGAGAACATTCTATGGGAAGAAAGCAGTGTGAACAAAGGCCATAAGAAGATGAAGCAGAAGTGTATCTTGTATTTAAAACCAGGCAGTCATCCAGTTTGTATGGGATATATGATGCTTCACATTCACAGTTTTGTAATGCGCTTGATACTTAAACCTGTAAGAAACACATCAGAAGTGGATTCTATGACTGAGGACTCAGGATCCTTAGTCATGATTTTCTGGTATAATGGGTACAGTGGGATAAATAGTCAAGTTCTCCAGACAGAAGAATTTACTAAGTCTTTTGCCCAGCATGGCATTCAGTATTCAGGACTGACTGTGACCATTCAATTTTCAAATCAGCCAGAGATTTGAAAACTGTAGGCCCAAGGAAAGATTTTTCAAGCTCTAGGAGAGAGCTCTCTAAGACTTTCTCTATCTTGGTCCAAATACCTCTTCATGGTACCATCCACAGGTGGACACACTAACTTTGGAGCAGAAGCTGTTCAGTGGTCCCTACCCCTATCATATCTGTATCATTCACGAATTCAGTAACCCGCCTAATGTCCGCAATAAGGTGCGCATTCGCAGCTGGATGGACACTATAGCAAACATCAATCAGTAAGTAATTCTGTGCCCCCTTAAAGGTCTTTTCAGCCAATTGTCATAACAAGAGCCCCCAGCAGCAAATCCTAATGTTTCCTTATGTTAAGTTATTCCATCTGAGCTTTTCAGGCAGGCTTGTGAAGTCATTATATATGAAAAACTAAAGTAAATAAGGACTAAAAATCATACATGTGTATTTGTAACCTTTAATTAAAAAAAAAACTTACAGAAAAATTACAAGAAAGATTGTGCATGTACATTTAACTTTATTTCTTTAGCTTTAGGGAATGGAAGATAGATCAGGAGATCTTCAGACAATCATGTTGCCAGAACATTAGACTTTTTATGTATTTGTTATATAAATGGTGTATTGAGGAACTTCTATATAGCTTTCTTTTTTTAAAATATAGTGAAGAAAATAATTGTATCCTGATTAGACTTAGATTTTATGATTTGGATGTATTCTATTTCCATTAGGTATTTAATGTTGTGTTTAAGTTCTGTAGAATCTGAATCTGAAACAACTTTTAGGATTCCTTTCTACCACTAATATTATTTCCAGTTTTATAATTTTTATTTAATTTGTTGCCTCCAGGGAGCTCATTAAGTATGAATTCTTCCCCGAAGCCACTCGAAGTGAAGAAGACTTAAAGAAGTACCCCAAGTATCCCTGGGGAAGAGAAATCTATACTTTAGAAGGTGAGCATTTCCAAATGGTTGAAAGTTAAATAGCTATTAACTAGACAGAGGGTCATGGCTTCAGAAAGAGATGAATGGAAATCTTATAGTCTATCAGAGTAATGGATGATATGAATACCTCCAAGAAGCAGGGACAAGGTAAATTTTGCTGTTTCTGTATGTATGAGTCTTTACCATCCCCAGAATAATAAGAAGCTGTGCTAAAACACAAAAAGTAGACACAAAAACTGAATGTTACTATAGTTTGAAAGTTGGAAATGTCTTGAAGGCATCTGATCCTTCTCTTTATTTTATATTTTACATTCTGCTTACAGAATACTGCAGAGTGTGGCCCTGTCAGCAGTTCCACACCAGTAACTATCATATTTGTCTTCTTCTAGGCGTTGTGGATGGAGCTCCGTATTCCATGATTTCTGACTTCCCTTGGCTGAGGTCATTACGGGCAGCAGAGCCCAACAGCTTTGCCCGATATGATTTTGAAGACGATGAAGAAAGTAATTATGATCTGACTTGACTTGTATTCTCTAGTTTATCTTACTGTGTTAGATACTTAATATTATGTTTGAGAATTAGGAGCAGTGCAACTTTTAAATGTTTTCCCATATGAATGGTTTTATGTGCTACCCCCAACCCCATCCCAGAACAACTTTGAATTTGTACAATATATGATCAGTGGACCTACTCGGGGTAGATGAAAGCTGATGGATAGGATTCCTACTAGACACTTTCTTACTGGATTGTTGCATTACCTTAAGTATTTGTAATCTAGTTATTTTTTATCTAAGAATTTATCCGCTATATTATTTTAAAATTGTTCTAATCTGCCATTTATGAGCTGCTTATCATATATAGCATGTCATAACTTAGGATTTAGGTGTAGAAATTTGGGGAGAAATTTTTGTATTTATTTCTATAAGTGCTAATGTACTATTTTTAGCCAGAGTTTTTTAAAAAATAATTTTATGTGGTTATGGATTTATGAACTACATGTTACGTGTTTATGCCTTAACTCTCTGGTACATTATTTTTACCTTGGACCTTTAATCATGTTTGCTGTCTTAGGCATCAAACATGGCTTAAAACTAAAGCTGATGGTGACCCATTCAGTGAGCTTTGATATATCAGCTACATCATATTACAGTATAGGACTGTCTTATGGATCAGCTTATCAGATTTTCCTAATGATTCTGATTATCATATATGTTTCCCTTTTTTCTAATTTCCAAGGCACCATCTATGCTCCTCGAAGGAAAGGGCAGCTCTCTGCAGACATCTGTATGGAAACAATAGGAGAGGAAATTTCTGAGATGCGTCAAATGAAGAAAGGTGTATTTCAACGAGTTGTGGCAATTTTTATCCACTATTGTGATGTCAATGGAGAGCCAGTTGAAGATGATTACATTTGATTGGCTCCCCTCCTTTCCAGCTATTCTGTCAGAAAGCAGCTAGAGCCATCCAGCTGCCAGAATGCTCCACAGGGACTTGAGCCATGCAGTTGGGAGGCCCTGGCTCGGATTAGTATGTAGGAATTATATAAGGAACATTGAAGTTCTGTACAAAGATTTGTACATAGAGGAGATATACAAAGACACTTCCTAAAGTCATATGTTTATACAATTTAATTTAAAAATTCATTTTAATGAAGGCAGATAATTTGAAAGAGTTCATTTTGTTCACTTTTCCTGACTTAGTTCATAAAGTATCATTTTTTGACTGAGCCTCATTTACTATATTCTTAATAATCACTGTCATCCCCTTAAATCTGTGCCTTTTTCTTCTCGAGCAAAGCTGTTTGAGTAAATCTGTTGAAGAGTGTTTAAGTCTTGTGTGCATTTTTGTTGTTATTAAAACATCAACTAAACTCAATAGTCAGATCAGGCTATATGTTTCTGTACAAAGCTGTAGTTGCTTTTTCTTTTTGGTATTATAATTATCATATTTCTTAATTAAGAAAAAGACTTATGAGCTTGAAAAAAAATGAATTTGCAGGGGAAATGGGAAAGTTTCCAAAGCATTTCTAGTTATTTATTTCCACATTTAATTGTGTATATGCTTTATTTGAATATAAAAATAAAAGTTTATTAAAAACTTTGTTCTTGCCTTGGAGCTGAATCCCTCTTTTTGAAGAAGAATAGCAAATCCTACACAGAAAAGCAATGTATGCTGTGTAATTTAATTCCTGATCTTTTTAAAAGTTCTGTGAGATGTTTGATTCATAGAACTCTAAAACAGAACACTAGGAGCAGCAGAATTGCCCCAAATAACTGGTCATCAGGAGATGGCCTTTTTCTCTTATATAATAGTGTATGTCAGGTAATGAGCAAAATGAGAGCAGTTGCATTTGAGACATTGCTTTGCTACTTGCCAGCTAGATGAGCCCAGCAAATTACTTAAAACACTTTCCAAGTAGACATACAGGATTATGGTTGTGTAAGGTATAAAAGTCCTTTGAGATTTGTCCAACCTCTTCATTTACAGGGGATTGAGTGAAGTCCAGAGAGAGAAAAATTGCTCACCCACAATTAGGTCATGGTTTACACTAGGTAGGACTAGAGTCCTTCACATATCTGATGCCCACTCTGCTACCTCTGTTAATGATAGAAATGCAAAGATGTCAGCAAGTCTTCCTAACACTAAAATATTCTGAATGTCATTCTTTAAAGTTCTCTCTTTTCCAAGGCTCTTAAAATTCTGCATGTTACATTAGGAGTGATCCAATAAGTACTACATTTTGTCTTCTCTTTATTACATTGTTTTTAACTCAGCTAAGTTCTTTTTTAATTAAATGAGTGCATTTCACTATCCAGGTTAGAACTGTGGTCAGTAAGAGGCAGGAGGAAATACGTTACAGAATATTCTAGATATTTCAAAATAACTTAGGGTCCTAAACTCTCAATGAACAAAGTCTAACCCCAGTTGTTAACTTTAACCATAGCCAAATTATCTAAATATGCTTCCATTGACCACAAGAGGCCGCTGCTGTGCCACTTTTTGCTGTATCCATCTGTCTCACCTGATCCAAACTGTTAAATAAATACAATATAGTAAAGTCATTCTAAAGATGCCAGGATTGTCTGGAAAAAAAAAAAAAACTGTAGAGAGTTCTGCTGTGGTGAACCTTTGGTGAGTGTATATAACATGAATGGCTAGATAGTGATTACTAGTCTACAGGAAGGGTCGGCAAACTTTCTGTGTCTCCGTATGTAGGGCCAGCTAGTAAATATTTAGGTTTGATGGGTCACAGACATTCTCTGTGGGAAGTACTCAACCCTGGTTATGATGTGACAGGCACAGACAATATAAACGGATATGGGTGTGGTACAATAAAACTGTGGACATGAATTTCCTATAATTTTCACATGTCAAAATAATAACTCTTTCCACTTTTTCCCCTAGCCATTTAAAAAAGTAAAAAATCATTCTGAAGACTCACAGACTAGATTTGATCCCCAGACCATGGTGTGCTCACACCTGGCCATAGGGAACTGAGTTGTCCTATTTGTCCAGTTAACTATATCACCAGCTCTTGGCACAGTGTAGTGTCTGGCACATTTTTTAAAGGGCTTATGGAATAGTTCATGAATGATCCATGACTTAACGTCAGAGAGAGAATCTTGTCTCATGCTGCCAGGTATGTGGATCTAAGACTCCAACAGCTGGTAACATAGTTCTTGTAGGGACTTCATATTTGGAATCAGAAGCCCTCTGCCGGATGACCTGGAGTTAGTCACAGTCTCTACCCTTGAGCCTTAGTTTCCTCATCTGCAAAATGGTAACAACTGGTAATACGTAACACTATGGACCAGTGATGAGGATCCAATGGGAGCCTCCAGGAAGGTGGACAATGATAAAAGTAGAGATGGTATTCCTTTTACTATAATTCCCTTTCTTATGAAATGCTTTTGGGGGACTAGTCTTTCCAAAACCTGCTCTCAGACCATACCCCAGGATAGTAGGAAGCAGAACACATGAGGCCATTAAAAGGAAATCATCTAGTTAAAATCATTTTTAAAAAGTGATTACCAAGTGCTGTCTGTACCTTTTATAGTAATACTTTGAAGTATATATGATCAGTATGTCCCCTGCTTTCCTAGTTTAGCAGGTTAACACATTAACCTGTGAGTTGTATTTAACTTATGCTAGTTTTGAGCCTGGTGCCTTGTGAAGCATATAAACTGGTAGATAGGCAGAGGGTCCATAGCATTATTTCACGCTGAGAAACTTCTGCTCATTGTTTCCACTGTCAATCAGCACGACTCCCCAACCTCCTTCACCCTGCCCAAGCAAGTCACAAGTGCTGTACTGTATTCTCCAATTATCGTAAATTCTGTTTGCACTTTTCCCCGGGAATGTTTGCCTGGTGGCTCTTTGAAGGAAATCGGTAACATAGTGTGTGGTGACGTGACATTGTTACACAACATTCAGAAGTCATCATCCAAGACCACCCAAGGTCTACTTCAGACAGAAGTAAATACTTGTGGAATGACAAAACGCTCAATTCTCAGAAACGAGTTCAATAAGTATGTTGTGACTCACAACTCACTTGGTGTGCGGTGTAAAAATTGAGTGCTGCGTGAATTGCATTTAACTCACAGAAAACAAAATTGTTTTTGTTACATTAGAAAGGATTGTTTTGTTTTTGAAGTGTTTATTCTATTTTTGTAATAAAACACCATAACCCCAAGGGAAAAATGTTTTTGCCAGCGTGACAGTTATGTGTTAAATAACTTGCTCAAAAGCACACATCTAGGAAGTGATGGGAGCCGGGTGCCTTTGCAACTTGGGTAAAGCCTCTGCAACTTGGGTAAAGTTTTTCAGTCTAAGTGGAAGCTTTCCCCACCAGGGAAGTTGCCAAGGCGGAGTTGCTGCTGCTACTGATACTTGAAACCACTTCAACTGACCTTCATATGGTTAGCACAGTCCCAGAATAACAAAGGCAGCTGATTTACTGATTCAGTCCTAGATACCCCACTCAGATGTGGGAAGAAGCCAGAATACAAAAGAAGCGGCACTGCAAACTATATAATGTCTATCACATGAAATGCATATGCAACTAGCAACTAAAAAGAAAAAGAATTATATGTGTTGATGTAAAAGATGTTTAGAGTACACTGTTGAAAAAAGCAAGTAGAAGGCTATTCTTAATATATACAACATCATTTTATTTACATATAAGAACAAAACAAAACGATGTTTTTACATGTACATTTATACATATGTAAGTGCATAGAAAATGTTCTCAAATTATATCAGCCAAGTGATGAGAGCAATTATTTCTGGGGAAAGGAGTAGGATTGAGTGGACACAATGGGTATTTTGCTAAATCTATATGACCAGAAGTTTTTATAGTGGGAATGGATTACATAAATACATCATTTGTGGAATTCATAATTTACATAGTCTAAAAATGTATAATTTGTATATTTTGAAATAAATTAAAAGAGAAGGAAGAAGGAAGCACTTACTTAGAATTGAGAAACCTGAAGTGTTTGCAGTCCTGATTTTGGTGCCAGATGAGCTCTGTGTCCTCAGGCAAAACACTTTTCCTGACAGTTCATTTTCTATATAAAATCATCAATCCCTTTCTATAAGCTATTAGGAGAGGCCTGGAGATCTCTTGAAAGTGCAGAGAAACTGTAAGTGCCTCCAGGAGTGAGATGATGTTTTACTGGGACACAGGTGAGCATAATCCAAATAGTGTTCCAGTTTCCAACCTCAAAATGTGGGGAAGTCAAACTGTCCTCTGCAGGGGCTGCTCTTGGATGGTCTGGAATGTAAAGGACCAGCGCTTTCTTTGGCTTGCACATCTACGTGGGTCACTACGACAGTTTTGAGACAGACTGTGCCATGGTGCAATATTTCACTTCCAAGAAACAGAGGGCAGTGTCCTTTCTGATTCACTCATGCAAGTTTCAACTTGCTTATCAGTGTTGCTGGGAGGGCTTCGTTTGTTTCTGTTGGTATGGGCATTTCTTGACTCTTGTGTATCTCAAAACTTACATAATGACTCACATATCTGATTCTCACAGTCTGATGCTGGTTATTCAGTAACCCCAGGCTGCTGGATACTAGAAAGACTATGAAAGATCAGTGCAGAAGGGTCAGTCATCTACCTGAACCCCTCCGTTGTTTAAAAATGGGAATTGAGGTTCAGAGACTGGAAGCAGGAGCAGCAGAAAACGTAGAAGGAGTAAGTGGCAGAGTTCAACTAGAATAGGCATGTCTGTCTGGAACTCCTCTTCGGGTTCCATGCTGATGGGGAATTCTCAGGCAACATGAGGAAGGGGGCCACCCATAGCTTATTCACTGCTTGTCCTGGCACAGGTGCAACAGGTGGACGTGGAATAAATTAATCCCAGTAGCAAACACTGTTGCACATGTTTAGGGCTGAGGGCCTTATTTAAACTCAGACTACCTGGGTTTACATTCCAAAGCCACACTTCTCAGAACTGTTACCTTGGGCTACTCATCAGATGTCTCAGCTGAGATTTACTCATCTGTAAAATGGGAGTATTTGGGGACATAACTTGTAAGGATTTTGTAAAGGTTAAATGAGATAATTCATAGAAAGCACTTCCCACAGTGCCTAGCTTCTCTGATTAGTGCTATTTTATTACGATTATGATTATTATTACTAACAGATATGTTCTGGACTGAGCTAAAAGAAAGGTAAAAGGAAGGAGAAACCACACCTAAATGGAACGTAATAGTAGTTAAAATGATAAGCAATTGTGTTTTCCTCCTCTCCATATTTCCAAAAGCATGGAATGCAGGTTGTAGTTAAATGGCATTAAGTCTCAAAGTTTGGAAGTTCATCTCTGTAGATTCTCTTTCAACCCTCCCAGTTAGCTGAAAGAGGAGGTAGGGTGCCAGAGGTGGGGTGGGGTGCCTCTGACAGGCCTCTGACACTCTTTGGCCTCCTTCTTAAATGCAGAAGCAGAAGATAAACCCCAAACATCAGCCTGTTCTTAGAACTTGACAGCTTTCTTTTGTCTTCATTTATTTATCACTGTGGCAGCTTTCTATTTATGACACCTAATACCGATTTTCTATCTTGGGCGCTGATATAATGTTGCCTTCTAAAATAAGTTT